AAATTGTGACCAGTGTGCTCGACCAAGTCGGATGTAAGGACAGGTATTTGCTGATGACACTAGAATACTTGAACTGTTTGATTCCGTCTCAGTGGTTGGATTGTATATGGGCTTGCGTCATAGCCTAGAGTCATTGGAGTCAATCTCACGAGGGTGGATCATAAGTATTTATTGCTGAAGTGTTGCAAAATAGTCCAGTGCTCTCTGATTACCACTGGTCATCTAAGCGATGTCAGTTCGTGATCTAGCTTGAATTTATAAATTTTGACGGGACTCGTTGGCTGAATATGCTAAAAACGTAATTATTTATGCTACTTTATTAGGTAAACATACACACACAGAAACATATAGACACGGTGACAACAAATAGTTATTAATTTCAAAAGTGTGTAACCAATACAAACAGCGCAATAAATAGCTAGCGTAGTTAAGAAAAAGTGAACAGTATTCATAAGACCATATTGACACAGAAATTAGGTCACTGTGATGAAAATAATATCAAATTATGAAATAGATACTAAAACGTTGAAATGTGAGGAGACTTATACAATTCGTCAAATACAAACCAAATATTTTCAAGTATTGGTATTTGTAGGGATTTGTTTGATTGGTTGGAGGGTTTCATTATGAGCTGACGTCAGTTAGAGAACCAATGGAAAACCTAGGAGTACTGGACAGCTGTTTTGGTCGTAGTTTGGGACTCTTTAGCAGTACCCACCCACCGGGGTTCGACACTGAACACACAACATAGCTCAGCTGTATAGAAATTCCTTTTCAAGGACATTCTCAGACGTTGTGATAAGATCTCACTGTTGACATCACCCGTGAATTGTAACCTTAGGAAGATTGACTTTTTAGGGACAGTTGGCAACTTCGAGGTTTTGCTTTCTGAGTTTGTGTGTTTGTTCACAAATCTAGTTGGATATCCGTTTCCACTTAGCAGATCACGAATATTACCGAGTTCTTCGTTCAGTATCTCATTTGAATAGATAACTCTAGCCCGGTTAACCAAACATCTAACCAGATTACGTTTGTATTGTAGGGGTACGAAGCTCAGGAAGTGGCTGTATTTTCCAGATGAAGTAGGTTTGCGATGCAGTTGTCTACATATTGTTCCATTTGTTCGCTTAGTCATTAGAACGTAAAAAAAGGAGATAGAGTCGTTTTCTTCCTCTTCTTTAGCGAAGCTCATGCTAGGATGTGCTTTATTAAATTTATCCAATATGTCCTTAGTCTCACTTTCTTTCCTTACAAGTATAAATATATCGTCGACATATCGTCAATAGGAATCATGATTATTTATTACATCTTTAAGAAGAACATTCTCTAGTTTTGTCAGGAAAAACTAAAATAACCACATGACGGGCAAACAAATTGACGTAAAATACTACGTATCGGTGTAGAGCCGATGATGAGGAATTAACTGAAAAGGCATATATTTCTTCACTCAATCAGTTGTTTTTCTAAAATATTGTCTGTAGTGCATATAATGATGAACTTTTTCATTATAGCTTAAATAACGAAGGGATATCAGTTAGCAAAGCGTTGAGAACTATACAGTGGTGCGCAGTTGGTTTACCCAAATCTGTAACTCTTCATCAGTACAGATCAATCCCCCTATTGGGGACCAAGCCCAATATTTCCAGGTTACGAGGCTAGCCGTTTGATCATTCAGTCAATGGAATGGCATTCAATGGCCCGTATATCCCAAGTTCTGCTAATTCACTATAGTTTGACGTGACTGTTAGTACAATCAAAACGCAATTAACTAAAATTATGACAATTTATCTCAGTATACTTGTTGTCTTTAAAAGATTAACTGTAGATTAATCAATAATCTGAATTAATAAAATAGTTATTTTTGTAATAGAATAGAAAACGGATGAGAACATTTTTACTGTCGAAAACACTTCTTTCAAGATGTATATATGTCTAGCTAGTTGTTTTGATAATAACTATACGTGTAATACGGTGACATTTCTTACCTGTTTCTCGTGTCTTATCTACGTCCTTACCTCATGTACAAATGTATGTGAAGGAACTAGTTGACAAGCTAAAACGATACTACAACAATAAAAACAACAACATCAACAACAGAAAAGTGTGTTACAGAGTTTTACTTCTTTCCACTATTGTCTGTGCTTTCTTATTACCCTGAAAGTTTGTCTGAGAAATAATCTAATTATTTGTTAGGAAAATAATAATGACGCACATCATAAGTATTAATGACATAAACACGTAGATGTGTACAGATACATAATAAAGATACAGTGTCCAATAGTAGCTATTAACATTGAAGCATAATTCTAAATATTAGTTAGACTGACTTATTTGGAAGGCCCTTATGCTAGTTTTCCTTTTTTTAATTCCTTTAAGTCCCGAGTGGAAGATAGGATTCAGCCTGAGGCTTTGAAGTTTCGGTAGCAGTGGTTTTATTTTTATTGAGGGAGGTGACCGGTCTCATGCACAATCTTTCATCTTTACCTGCCTTAGTATCAGCTTAAGGAGGTTTAGAAGTGCATCGGGTGGTGACTGAGCCCAGGACCACCTGATACGTGGCTGGCGAATGTTCTGTCGCTGAATCAACAATGTATCCTTATGCCAGTTAGCCTTATTTATTTATATTTTAATTCCATAAATTATACTTTAAATTTAAAAAGTGGTATCGGTTTCATTTTGATTGGATTTTTCGTTTGGCAGATAGTGATAAAAACCATGATGTACAGCTTATGTAAATTATTTTATTTAGAAAAATTGCAGTTTTAACGCAATATTGAAATTAAGTGCAGAGTACTGAATAATATATCTCGTTAACTCCAACTGTGTTTATAAATTTATATGGACATGCGGTAGCAAGCTTGTAGGAGGACTGGGAAACGGTTGTCTACGAAGATTGTTGAATATCAGTCCAAGCTTCAACATCATTTAATGGCTTCATAGCTTGGCATCTGGATGTAGAGGACGCGAGATCAACATAGTAGAATCTGATCAAAAAGAGACTGTTACTGACCGATTACTACTTGGACTGAAAAGTCCTGGGTTTGAACCCTGATGGGTGTGTACTGATGAAGTGTCTCAGACTAGGACGAGAGAGCTGTCCGGTACTTCTAAGTTTTCCAATAGTTCTCTAACCAATGTCAGATCATGATGAAATCCTGTAACCAATCAAATGAAATCCCTGCAAACTAACATTTGAAAATTTGGATAAGCACTGACTCTTTCATTTTAACTTGTCGAAATTTCATTTTATTTTCATAGAGTAACTGCATAATTACATCCATCTTTTATCTTACTAATTGTTGATACCTTTTTCGTCCTGGAGTTCTTACATTTCAGTTGAATAAATTTGCATGCGACTATGTAACCACCTCCACTCATGCGTGAATTACCCCTGAATTTCAGAAAATTCTTCTGTGTGCAAAATATTATGTCTCTGTTTTGGTTATAATTAAATATTTTTACCTCCCGTACAGTTTGTACCTTGTTTCCATCTTTGACATGTTATTCTGCTCTTGTAAAATGAACTGGCTGTTCAGTTAGATTATGTTTAAATTAGATCACATTCATTGTTGATATAGCAGTTTATCGCAATCAAATTGTATGCAGCTGATGAAAATTCTACGAAATAAAATGAATTAATCTTTTCCTGAGAAAATTGTTCTTATTACGCAATTTTTTTTAAAAGGCCTAATTGAATGAAATATTTACATCAGTTGATAGTGTTTTAGCCTTGTACTGACAGACTTGTTGAAATATGTATATCCTTATGATATCTAGTGGTATGATGTACCACGTATGATCCGCCTCATTCAGGACTGCATATTATTATTATCGCCTTTAGTTCCTAGAGGAACATAAGGCTTCAGCCACACTTCTCCATTACATTCAGCTCTCCACCAACGTTTTCACCTGGATCCACGTCTGCCCACATGCTTTCATCTCCTATTTAAATGACTTCCTCCATGTTACCCTTGAACCGGCAACCATCTCTCCGCTTCTCATTCGGGTTCCCCTCGAGTGATGGCCTGGCGTGTGATGTCGCTTGATGATTTTCTCAGAGTATGGCCAATCCACTTGTATTTCTTCCTGTATATTTGTTGCACAAGTTATTCCTGGTTGGTTGATTCGCTCCCAGAGATCTCTGTCTCTGAAACTTAATTCGAGACCTTATTACTTTAAACTTCCTAGCGTTATTCACCGAATAAAATGGTCACGATAATTTTCCTATTAGACAATAAATAACACATATTATTCATTAATATTTCTAATATTTTATCAAATTAAACTTGTTAACTTATAAACTATATCGATGGAGTCTTGATATTCTTTTGAACTCCACTGGGATGCTATTTACCAGATTGAGTTTTCCGACTTCTACTCGTAACTGAAATCAGCGAAATTTAACTCAACCAAAGCTCAGGCTAAAATTCACAGTAATTATAGTCAATATCAACACTGAATAACTATGAAATATCTTTAGCACAGTTCAGAGATCATTCAAAGCAAGTCAGATCAAACCATATTTACTGCACAAGAAACCATCCTCTTCACTAAATAGACCAATAAGTAATAATTTAGCATTTATAAGACTCAATGAGATCACTATCACAAACTGGGATGTAAGTGCACCCGACTGATGAGTCCCAGTTAGGACGAAACATCTACATTGAATTTCTCTTCTAACTACCACTAAAGAATAAAAATCAATAAGTTCAACCAATAATTCACACCGATTTGAAATCCTTCTACCATAAGAATAGTTTGTTTGTTTGTTTAAATCTACTTAGTGCGATTCAGTCTTTTATTTACCATTAATTCCCACACACATATGGCTGGGCTGTTTTATTATGAGTTTGAAAGCATTTTTTGCTTTTTTATTCACAACTAATGTCATTAATACCGAAAACAACAACAGCATGCTTATTACTATTATTATTACTAATATTATTTTAATATCCTGTGTACTCAAATACTCTCCATATATCTGCTTACTTTTTAAGTCAAGTCCAGAAATGAACGAATTAATGAATCCATTATTGGATAAAGCCACATATATTGAACCGTATGGATTACAGATTGTCGGTAATTTCACTTTGGCTTTTTTAAATTTATCGCGTAAGTTTATGCGCGCTTTTTAACCTTTAGCAAAAGAAAAAGAAAAAAAGACGTTTTTATACTCTAAATTATCAATATATTTATTCATTTGTAAAAGCAAAATTGTCTCTTTAAGAAAAGGGGAACATACCAATTAACAAAAGAGTTCAAATAATGAGTAGATCTTTTCTTTATTATTGAATTTAAAGATTAGTGATCTAAAATTTGAAAAGATCTAAACTAGAACCTTTTCAATGCGTCCTAAGTATAAGGATTAATGTCGTCAATACAAAACCTAAGTCTCTTTCTTAAATGTGAGTAGTGTTCATTGACCACTGATAGAATTAAATTAGTAAATAACTATCCCAGTATCAACGTAGATTTTATCTACTGTCAATTAAAGGCTACAAGATAAATGTCTCAGTGTTCTGACGAGAAGCAAAGACCAGCTGGTTTGACAGTGTCCGGTACGGGGATAGAATATAAGAGTAGAACTTGGGCACTGTGGTAGAGTATAATTCCACCATAGAGTAAATTTATTTGATAAAATCACACAGTGTTAAACAGTTTTATTTACTGAAATAGTGGAATTATTGGGAAAGGAGAAAAATTTGCCCATGAAATTGCATCGCTTAACTGCTATAGTGCAAATGGAGAGAATTTAGAATACACTGGTTATTGGATTCTAAACCCAGTGGTTGGATTGTCAACAGATTCGCCTCTCAGCCTGAAGGTATCGGGTTCGATACTTGGTAGGGGCCATCAGTGCATACTACTAAAAACAGCACCAACCTAGGAGGACTTACCTGTCCAGTAAGTACCCTCTGGTTTTCAATGGTTCTCTAACTGATGTTCGTTTATGATGAAATCTGCTTTAAAAATACTCAAACTCTCTCGCAAATATGAATATTTCTACTTTAAGCTGACTACACAATGAGATAGGAGTGAACTGTAAATTTATTTGTTAACTTCATGATTTTGTTTTCAAAGGTGTACAACTGTCACCAAACACTTCAGCTTGAAACAAGCGATATAACACTGAATAGTTAATTTCTCTCTCATTTCCGACTTTCTTTGACAAATGTCAGTAGATTTAATTCAGTTTTAGATTTTCCCGTAGATTGACTGCACTGAAGTGCTCGGTCTCAGGTTGACATGTCGGCTTCTTGTGAGGATGATTTGACGATGTCTGGGCATGCAATTAGAAGTTAATTGGTGGATGGTGACTAGCAGTGGAATCCAAGACGCGTACTTCGTCCTACTTGGGACTCGTCAGCTGGATCTACTTGCGTTCCACAGTGGCTGGAACCCACTGCACATAGTTTCAAACGAGTCCCAAGTAGGACGAAATGCGCATCCTGGATTCCACTGCTAGTCACCATCTACCAATTAACTTCGAATGTCAGTATAGTATATACTCATAAATTAGTGCCATATTACTGTTGATATTATTCCTTTGCTTTACCGATAATTAGTATACATGTACTCTATGCACTGAAGCTTACTTCCAAAAACCAATTTTTCTATTACTTTCTTACCCAGTGGAACATGGGGTCTCAAGTTTTGAGGTTTCAGCAGCAGAGATGTTGCTGTTTCTACAAAATGGGGTCGTTAACCTCATGTCTAACCTTTCCTCTTTCCTACTGTTGTAGCGGCCTGCTAGCAAACTAGATGAGTTTTAGGAGTGCGTCAGCTAGGCACTGAGTCTGGACCTCCCGCATGTATGGTTGGCAAGCATTCTACTATCGAACTAACCAGTATGTTGAGTTAATCGACTATTTAGTAATACTTAGTGCAATCCTGAAGTATTTAATGCTAAAATCTGTTTTTTCTAAACCACAAAAAGAGGTATTGCAAGCTTTTAGAAGTATTCACTGTATAGATAGATCACAAAGCCACAATTAACTAATCATTGTATTTAAAACTCGGTAGTCTCAAAATTTTCTACTAGGCTAATGAATCTTTTTGTTCTACGTACTAGTAAGTCAGCAGTAAACTTAGTGAAAAGATGAATAATTATATTCTGTCAGTTATATAACAATTAACTGAGCATATTAATAGTTACCTCATTTCCTACTATTATAGTTGTCAGTGGCGCAGATGTATTCAGTCTCTTTAACCCTTCATATTCCTTTCTACCATTACTCATTCTGTTTCACTCTTATACTTATCTAAATTCTATTGATTCTCTTCTCTCATTTTCCTGTCTACCTTTGTGTGCTCTTTGGAACGTGGCAACTCGAACTGCTGCACCTCGGTGTCAAGTTCTATGTTGAATCCAGCAGCAGCAGCTACTATTATAGTCCCAGTACTGGCCTTATTTATGGTTATTTTTTTATTCTTTCACGTTCCAAGTGGAACATAGGGCTTCAAGTTAAAGCATTGAAGTTGCAGTAGCAGTGGTGTTCATTTTCACGGGATAGGGTTACTAGCCTCATGCCCAACTTACCCTCTTTACCAGCCTTATTACTGGTTTAGCGAGGTAAAGGAGTGCGTCAGCTGGGGATCGAACCTCGAACCGCCTGCATGGTTGGCGAGCATTCTACCGCTGTACCACCGACGCACATATTATTAATTACTTCATTTCCTGCTATTACAGTCCCAGTACTGGGATTCACTGGTGCTAATAGCAGTGGGTTATATTTTTATTTGATCGGATATTTATAACCCCATCTTCTTGTGTAGAGACATTCAGTTCGTCTGAACGAGATTACGTGAATAATCGTTACCTAAGGTTTTTGATTCATGGTGGCACAGTTCATAACCGATTACAGTTGTGCCGCTAAGTTAGTGTGATTTGACTGACTGATTTAGAACAGAGATTATTCCACAGAAGCGCAGCAGTTCAAGTTGCCACACTCGATGTAGCACACAAAGGTAAAGAAAAGACAGGAATAAGGGATTCAAAAGAACTACAATCAGCAGAAATTCACCAGAGAAACAATAGTAATAAGGAAAGCATGGGGATTTAGTGGATACAGGAGAGAATACAAAGAGTGAATCCATCTGCGCCAATGAGAACGATTTTGAACCATACCACCACTAGTCTCCAGCCATTGGTTCCTAGCTTGCCAAGGCCCCCAGCTAGTCAGTTTACACTTCACTATGCACCTCATTTTCTTCTATACAGATTAGTAACTCAAAATGAATTCATTTTTACACGCTATTGTCTTCTTATTACTCCCTATTTGACATGGCAAACTACATTTTTATACAATAGTAGTATAAGTGGTGAATTGAAAATATTTGTGTATTTTTCTATTATGCGACCAGGTAATTTAATCAGTGTCGATGGTTTCAAAGCACTGCAAGAAGCAGTAACTTATCAAACAAAAATATTAAATAGTGGAAATTCATCAACAAACTTTGGTACAGGATTATTAAAATTGTTACTTGATGTAAGTTAAACAAAATCGATTTCTCAGTGATTGTTGTTTCAATTTTATAAAACAACAGAATTCGTTCAACTGATTAAAGATGCATATTAAAAATGTTAAAAGACTAATTCACTTGGATTCAACTACTCCTGTGGTGCCAGTTATATTGACCATTGCTCTGAGAATTTAATATTTTATGCTGGGAAATAATTATGAGTGTGGTTAATTAAAGGCATAGTGAAAACAACCAACAGTTCAACAGTTGATCACCTGGTTTAAACAGGCAATAAAGCTGGTATTTGAGAATCTTTATCTATCATCTGCCGAATAATGAAAATAAATTACAGATGGCCTCCAAATACGGCACACTCCAAACAGTGGAGGGTAATTGCAGTTCGCTTAAGACAACTGGAACTCTCAATGTGAAAGAAACAGGTTCAGCTACTATTGCTGTGGTGGTCTGTTATGGAATTTTTTAAATACATCTGATATTCAGTTTACTATTACAGTGATGAATACTATCACCTATAGATGCCTTTGAACTGTAAAATATTAACAGAGAGAAGACCAGTAGTTCAGCGAAGAGTCTCTTTTCGGCGAATTCATTTCCACATCTTCACAGTCGCATTGTGCATGTATGTATGTGTGCATTAAATTTGTCAAACGAAAATACAATTATTAAGTTTTTGGTGGAGTTACGCAATACAAAGAGCATTCAGAGGAATTGGATGTTGATATAAGAGGGTAGTAACAAAAGTAATGAGTTATCTAAAACGATTGTTAAGGAAGAGTTACATAATAACATGAATAGTTGTGCTCAGGGTGTACATTGAAACAAAACAAAATACGGAATTAAGTAAGAGTTTTAAGTAGTTAGAAAAAAAAAGCAAACAAGCAAAAGTTAAGTCAAATCAACAGAGTTGTTACCGTGGTATTAGAAGTGGCTGAATAATTTCCTTCGGTATGCATAATTCTGGTTCTTCTAACTGAATGGCTAGGGCTTCTGCAATGCAAAGAAGAAGACCTGCCTTTAGCAGGTTGTTCTTCACTTTGTAGATTCTTTTGACGGAGGCGTTTGTTGAGATAGGATAACCTGTGGTGACGAGATGTTCGATTATCGCACTCTTCCTAGAGCCACTATTACATTACAGTAACCATTCGGGATAGTGTTCTGCAACCCTTTTGGACAGGAAGTGGGTTGAACAACTAATGTACATAGTCCCACAGAGACAGGTGAACTGATATAAACACACTGTAGTGGTCGGGTGAGAGATCTTGTTCTTTGGGCTTTCGCAGAGCAGTGGATGACTAGAGAACACCACTCTCAACCTTGTTGCCGCAAAGAAAGTTCTCCTTAAAGAAGTGAAAATTCTCCTCTTAAGGATATCACTGAGTAGGTCACCTTTGAATTCGAGGTTCATATAAAGTATCTTTGTTTGGCATGCATGGCGTCTCTTGCTTTTGGATTTTCTGTTTGATGTTTTTGTCTATGAATCTTGGTGGATAAACATTTTGTATGAAGATATCTTTCAGGAAGTGTAATTCTTCTTCCAGGGTATCAGAGCTGCAGATATAAAATATTAATATTATTTATTCAATGTTATTCAAAACATTGATGTTATTAATAACATTTCTTTAATTATTTTGGACATATGGCTATAGAACCTGATAAAGTTATGGGAAATAAAATTCTTTGTTCACTAAAAAACAGTCATTTAGAACTTTGTCATTATGTTTTGTTAGTAAGAAGTTATTATACCTCTAATAAAATCTAAAAATGACTGACTAACTGACTTGATGACTGTACAGAATAATGTTGAGCCTAAATTTAATAGGATATCAGTTGAAATTATTGGATATTTCACAGTGTTTTGAAATAGAGAATAAACGAAACGCAAAAAGAAAGATAAAAGGGAACATTGTCTGTTTAGATAATAATCACAGAAATCAGAGATAAACTGATGTACATAATTTGAACAATAACAGAGTATGTTTTAGATATACGTTTCAGTTTAATTTCTCTGTAAATACACCTACTCAACTTTCACTTCAATAAGCATTTTACATTTAATTGAGCCAAATCACCAAGGTTAATTTCTGTCCTCCATTTATCCAATTTATTTTAGCTCAGATGGATAGTATTGGTACAGTTGTGTTCTCTCTGAGCGGAATAGTTTAACTGAGAAGCTTTCATTGTCTTTCTAGACAACTTCTTCAGCGCTAACTTCAGCATGAGGTCAGCTTTGATAATTTTTCTTAATTGAAACAATAAATACAAATGTGGTGCCTCATAAGCGATGGTTGTCATATTGTTGAAAGCTTCTAAAAGTTCACTTCATCTAGAAGTTATCTTGAAAGATAGTGAAAACTTTTCAGAGAACACAACCACACTGATTTGAACAGTTGGCATTTCAGAATGAAACAAATAAAACTTTGCAATATTATTTGGTTGATAATGGCCAAAAGTGGAATCCGTGATTCATACTTCATCCCATTAGTTCGGTTTGAGTTTCAGTGGTAATAACACTATCACTCAGTGTGCATGCAATTTCAATAGGCTGATGAGTCCGAAATGGGATAAAATGCACATCATAGATTCTCTTGCTAGCTACCATTAACCAATTAATATCATTTTTATCTTAAGATATATTCAAAGCTTCCGCACTATGAACAAATATGTCAACAAAGACAGAATGTTTCGATACAGTATAATCAAGCAATAGAAAATTGAAATTAATTTAAACACATAAAATAGGGAAACTATGAGATGAATGACACATTATTTGTATATAATTTTATACTTATTGCTGAATCACATTTGATATAACTGTGGCTGATATTAAAATGCCATTTCAAGGAAGACTAAAAGTAGTTGAGATGTAGTGACAAGAATTGAAAGCTTCATTCATGGACACTTCGACAGTTTTCTTCCTCCTTGAGTGTTAATTTCATTTTTGAACAAAAATTTGTATCATATTCTATGCATCTTCTTCAGTGTTGTTTCCAAAGACCTAAAAAGTACAGCAATCAAATTAGATATATGAATTACAGGGAGAAAATATCTTTAAGTGATGAAGAGGGGATAGCGTGTGCTACTGATAAGATTTATCAGTAGTATATAAAGAGACGTTCGTCGGTATAAGGACATCAAATATCGGGGAGATAGATTTGATGTCAGAGAAAGCAAATGATACAGCGCTGCGGAGATACATGGGATATGTGAAAGGAACACAAAGAAATATACACAATATGAAGGAAGGCGAGAAGTAGCACAACACGGAAGATCTGCGCAAATGGTGTGTTGAAGATAAAGTGTACATAACTTCCCTGTATAGATATACCATGAAGCTGTTACGACATACTGAAAATGGCATTAATTAATTAATAGACAGAATATTTCACTGTCTGTAAACAAGAAGCCTTTATATATACGACTACAACTCATGGGCGATATACCAAGCGAGATAATTACAAAGAAATTAAGAAAAGCAGTTCAAAGGACTTTTAATGCTGGCGAACTACACATCTTATTCTCTACAAGACCGATGGTGCTACCTCGACTGAAAGATGAAGTACCTAGACTAGCCACTTCAAATTGTATCTATCAATTCAACTGCGCTTGTGGAGCGAGTTATATTGGCCATTGCTCTAGGAACTTGATTTTTCGTGCTCGAGAACATATCCCACTATGGCTAAGTAAAGGTGTAGTTAAAACTATTAACAGCTCGATATTAGACCATCTGGTGCAAACCGGTCACAAAGCCAGCGTAGAAGAGTCCTGCTCTATAATATACCGGGTGCCTAACAAACTACCAAAATCGTCGAAGCACCACATGCTCCAAACAGCAGAGGCTATTGCAATTCGCCTCAAACAACCAGTGCTCTGTGTTCAAAAGAAACAAGTCCAGCCCCCACTACTGCCTTGGCCCTCAGTAGAAACTATGAACTCATGAATTTGTACTATTCTTTTCTAATTCCTCTAACATTCAGCTTATTTTATGTTGATGCTGTTCAGCTTTAATCTATCAATATTATTGATTTGATGTTATTCAAACAGCATTAATGTCGTTCATAAGACTAATTCATTCATTCATTATAATGTATATATAATTGTAGAACCTGATGATGAATTTATCGAAAAGAGTACTCTTTGTTCCGTGCCCATTCTTTTGAAATTAAAATTATTCATAAACGATAGAAAATAGGTTGAATATGTCCAATGCTGTTGTCTAGAATTTATTCATAAAAAAAGTTCAGCAGAAGACGCTTTTTTCAGCTAATTCATCTTCTTTTGCTGTACAAAAGCACTTGTATACAATTTTTTCCCAAAGGAGGATAATAACAAAAGTGACGAGTTGTTGTAACCGTAGTTCTTTTTATGAATCAATACATGAGTGAAATTGTATGAGGGTGTTAGGGTTCCATAATAAAATAAAACAATTTAATGAATGAGTTCCACTCAGGATGTACACAGAAATGAAGGAAAATGTCATATAACTCAAGAGTTTGAAAAAAGTAGAAGAGCTGTATGAAGTTAAAACATAAACAAAATCAAATTGGTAGGGAACAACAAGGTCGTTACCATGATAGGAGAGGTGGTTAAATAGTTTTCTTTTTTCGTAGAGCTCCGGTTCCTTCAGGCTATTGGATAGAGCTTCAGCAGTTAGGAAGAGACAAAGGTGCACTGTCATTGGCAGGTTGTTCTTCACTTTGTAGATAACTCTGAAGGGGGAGTTTGTTGAGATAGAATGACCAATTTCAACAAGGTGTCCACTTATCTTACTCCTTGAAGATTCGCCACTAACTTTCTGCAAAAATGCAGGATAGCGTTTTTTCTATTATTTTAGTGGAAGAATAATATTAATATGAATATGATGATCAGTTTCCTTTATTTCCTTCACCTTTTTCATGTATGAGATAGTTTCTAGGGTAAAATGAAGGAGTTCATGGTTTGCATAAATGTCGGTAAAATAATTAGCCATCGGAAATGTGATTTACTGGTGTTTATCGTTATTTCGACTTCCTATGCTATCACTACTTACGTTTCACCTCTTCACTGTCAAGCGTTATTCGGTCTGCAATCAAAAATGGACAGGGATTCTAAGGCAGGTGTGTCATGTAAACTAATCTTATTGAAAATATTTCTTCATGATTAGCAAAATACAATTAACCGTATTATTATTATTTCCTTTAATTCCTAGAGGAACATAGGGCTTCAGCCGCGCGTCTTCATTGCGTTCGGTTCTCTGCTAGAGTTTTCACCTGGTTCCAAGTCTACCCACATGCTTTCATCTCTTCGTCACATGACCTCCTCCAAGTCACCCTTGGACGACCAACTCGCCGCTTCCCTTTTGGGTTCCACTCGAGGGCACAATTAACCGTATATATATATATATATATATATATATATATATATTGAACACTAAGAAACTCATAAGACTTACACTGATTACGCATTTCTCAAATAACATCCATTCTCTTTTGGGTTCGCCGGCTTATTGATGAAACATTCGCTGAGGAGACCTTCAAGTAACATACACAAATACTAGGCCATCAAGCGGGACCTGAGTGGGAAGCGACGAGATAAGCGTCCGTGGGTGACATGGATGGTACTGTGTGCAGCCGGTTCGACGTTATGACAGAGAATCAAGTGGAATGCTAGTATGCCGCCGAAACCTTATGTTTCACACGAAACGGAAAGCATAAATGATATGATAATGTTCTCTGTTGGGTATATCTTAGATTTTTCTTAGTGTTTTTTCATCTTCTTCCTGAGTTTCTTCTTCAATAGCTTCTCATTGACACACCAATTATCAGTACTTCACCCACTATATACCTATAAAGCTTACACTAACTAAAGTATTATAATTAACCTCACCTAGTTTACTAGTTCACTTCTCTTCTAGCCGGTTCTCTGCCGGAGTGAAGAGAGAAGGTTGGGTGTGGGGTTAGCGGCCCTGCCCCGGAAAATCAACCCAGTCTCTACAAAGAATTCAAGGTACAGCAAAAATATTTAAAAAGTCTTATTCTTGGTTGGAATCGGGGAGACGAAATGATACAGCGAGCTGATAAAAGCCTTCGGAAAGCCAGTCAGACGATGCATCTTCTTTCGATAAAAGCAGAAATAAGCAATGGAACGTGGAATGTTCGTACTATGAACGAGGCTGAGAAGGCTTGACAATTTGCCAAAAAATGCGTAGATATGAAGTAGAAGTGCTCGGAAGCTGTGATGGCAGATGACATGGACTCTACAAATTGTTTATTGGAGAGTCAGTAACCTACTCCTGTCACTTAGACGACAAACACAAGCACACTGAGGTAGTGAGTAGCTATCATGATGTCTCCAACAGCAGTCAAAGCTCTTGTGCAGTCAGAACCTACAGGAAAATATCATCAAGATTCAACTCAAAATGTGCCGTTGAAGCCTTGTGTTTTACCCGAAGCCAAGGGGAATAACAATATAATAATAAACAACGTATTATAATTATTCTTTATTTTTCTGTTTTTATTCACTATTATAGAATAACTTAATTAATGATGACTCTGAAATACTGTCAACGATCAATGAGCAACTCGCGCCTAGAGATCCTTCAATGAAAAGCACAAACAGTGAAAAATCTATTGAATCAGAATTATCCAGTTCCAATATAACAACTAATTCATAGAAGGGATAAACATTGTAGTTTTTGTACTATCATAAATACCAGTTTATATATAAATAAATGTATACATATATTTGATTACATATGAATAAAACCAATTAACAGTAGTTGATTTGTCGACTGTTCTATTTCATAGTTTGTCTGAGTGATTACTGTTCAGGATTAGGTGCATCGCGTACACATATTTCCGCATTCATAGGTAGATTTAGTTCTGTTTGTTGAAAAATGAAAAGAAAAATTGTCAAAAGGTAAACTAACAGAAAAGAGAAGCAGCAACTAGCACCTGTATTCAAAAGTAATACTAATAAACGCTTTGAAACTTTGATAAAGCTTTCAATCATTCGTGGAAGCTTTCATGAATCTCCTTGTAATTGATTAAATTTTCATAACTGCAGTCTTCTTGGTTCACTGATGCATTCATCCTGCATTCATTTATTCCTATACATTACAAGAAGAACAAAAGTGTTCCCTGCTGAAAAGTCAATTACTACGATGAAGTAATTCTTCGGTGCTCTTTGGCTATATCGCATATATTCTGGTTCCAATTAGACAATGACTAATTCATCGTAAACTGTCCAAGTGGATAAACCGTAGAGCATCTAAGCTGGTACGATCAGTCCATACTCCGATTCAATGTTAAAAGTACTAGCAAAGGCAAAAGACCATTCTTCAACACACTGGTAACTGAAGATGAACACACTGCAGGTAAAAGGGATCTCAGAACACCATACCAGGGAACCAGGTCTCTATCCGGGAAGTGGTCAACACAGATGATGAAACCAACAAAAGATGTTCAAGGGGACCTAATTACCAAGGAGGAGAAAAAAATAAAACAATGGACTGATCACTTCAAAGGACTCGTGAATTCCCCCCCATCACCTGTAACTAGCCCAGAATACACCACCATCAACATTACGCACAGAGCTGCCTACCATTGGACACCAGTCCTCCAAAGAAGGGAGAAATCTTGAATGCAGTCAAGGGACTGAAAGCCAGGGGGGAAGGCAGCAGGCCGGAACAGCATTCCCTCTGAAGCACTGAAATCGAACCCAGAGACTGCAGCATGTGTGCTGGCGCCATTATTGCAAAAGGTTTGAAAAGAAGGAAGCGTGCCTACCGATTGGAAGAAAGGCTGGCTACTTCGTCAAGCTGCCGAAGAAGGGCGACTTAGGCCTCTGTAAGAACTGTCATGGAATAAGACTCTTGTCCACGCCAAGTAAAACACTAAGTTGAGTTATCCTAGAGAGTATGAAAGATATACAGATGCAAAACTCTGACCGGAACAAGCTAGATTCAGGAAAGGCAAATCATGTACTGATCAAATTGACGCGTCTTCATCCAACAAACTTTAGAATGGCAATCAAACTTCTACATCAACTTCCTTCATCGAATTCGAAAAGGCCTTCGGCAGCGTTGACCGAGATGTAATTTGAAAACAACTTCAACACTACGGTGTACCTCAAGTCATTATCAACTTCATTCAACAGCTGGCTGAAATGCAATGCCACATGTCAGGTGATCCACAACGGAAAACTCGGCGAGACATTTGAAGTGAATAGAGGAGTAAAACAAACTGGCCACCCACTACTATCACCGATGATATTCCTGATTGTGGCGGACTGCGTTATGCAGCACACCGTTTGTTGGGAGTGAGAAAACAGTAGTACTCTGGACCACCGATAAGAAGACTCTAGAAGATGTGGATTTCGCAGATGATATATGTCTAATGTCACACAAACTCGAAGACTTGCAGGTGAAAAGCAACAAACTGACCGAAGAAGTGGGCAGCGAAGACAGGACTGCAGGTGAACATGTAGGAGACGAAGGTGATGAAGACAACCAACCAACAACAACAACAACCAGCACCAATCACCATTAATTGAAGAAATTTGAAAGAGGTTGCTTCCTTCAGATATCTATCAAACATCATTTCAACCATAGGAGGAACGGATGAAGATGTTAAAGATAGCCAGAATAGGAAAGGCAAGATACACCTTCATTCCTCTGAAATCAGCTACATTCACCCAGCATAAAGAACAAGATTCGGATTTTCAATACAAATATTAAGGCAGTCAGTCTTTCTATATGGGTCAGGAACCTGGTCAGAGCTCCACGAAAAGGATTTCCGACAGGCCACTGTAGACTTTCATCAACAACCGCCTTCACTGGCTCCATACTGAAGACCAAATGACCGGCCTGAAAGAATTAGTAGTAAGAAACTATGGGAACGATCCAACCAAGAAACGATTGCTCACCAAATATGCAGAAGAAAATGTACGTGGATTGGTCACACGCGCCAGGGCATAGTTTGAGTGGAATCCGAATGGGAAACGATGAGTTGGGCGTTAGTCGGAAGGTGACGCGGAGGAGATCGTGTGAGGAGGAGATGAGAGATTATGGGGAATCGTGGACCCAGATGAAGAGGACAGCAGAAAATAGGACAAGGTGGAGATGTGTTGTTGGAGCCCTGTGTTCCACTCAGAACCCAAGGGAACAATAATAATAATGATAAATTTATTTATGGAGCCTAGATAAATGAAGAACCTTTGCATCGGTATACTGACTGGAAATTCTACAAACGATTACAGCATACTAAAGGAAAATAGACAGAATAATAGAACGAAGGCTATATACAACAAGAGTAGCTGCCTGATCTAACTAAAAGATTTGTCTTATATACAGTAGCGTTATTTTTTAGAATTCAGTTAACTGGGATGGAATTTTCATATAGTACACTGAAATATGTACTTACTTCATTAAAGCTAATGATTCTTTCCATCTGCCCAAGCTGAAGTTGGGGGGGTGTTGGATTCGAACCCAGGACCCAATAGTTTAAAGTTGGGCTCGTAAGCCAATGAGCCACAATTGCACGCCCGCAGCTGTTACTATTCAGCCAGAAAAATTAAGACTATCCCACTATATTGAACCGAAAAACAAACAGAATGGAAATATGATCAAAAACCTAGGTAGATATTCAAGAACTAAACTATGTAGTGAACTGGATTATGCGTCAGACAGTGGGAAACAAGAAGACAGGGATATCCTGGACCGACGTGAAGAACCTAGAAGACCTGGATTTCGCAGATGATTTATGTTTGATGTCACACAAAATACAAGACTTACAAGCGAAAACCGACAAACTGGTCGAAGAAGCAGCAAAGACAGGACTGACTCTAGGTGAACATAGACAAGACGAAGGTTATGAAAATAACCAACTGACAACAACAACAGCAACATCCAGCGTCAATCACCATCAATGGGAGGGATTTCAAAATAAGTTTCTTCGTTCACCTATCTAGGGAGTATTGTCTCAACTACAGGAGGAACGGACGAGGATATCAAATCGAGAATCGGGAAGGCAAGAAACACATTCATCAACCTGAAACCAATCTGGAAATCTTCGTCACTCAACTCAGCATCAACAACAAAATTCGGATTTTCAATACAAACGTCAAGTCAGTCAGTTCTTCTATACGGATCAGAAACTTGGTGGGTCACAAAGAATATTTCCAACAGCCTGTTGCAGACCTTTATCAATAACTGTCTTCGCTCTATACTGAAGATCAGATGGCCGGAAAGAATCACAAACAAGAAACTATGGGGACAAACAAAACAAGAACCAATCGCCCAACAAATATGCAGGAGAAATTGGAGATGGATTGGAAACTCGCTGAGAAGGCCGTTGGGTGACATCGCGCGTCAGGCCAGTGCTCGAGTGGAACCCGAAAGGGAAGCAGCGAGTGGGACGTCTAAGGGTGACATGGAAGAGATCCTGTGAAGAAGAGTAGAAACAGTATGGATTAACATGGATGCAGGTGAAAAGTGCAGCAGAAGACAGAAACAAGTGGAGACGGGCAGCTGAAGCCCTATGTTCCACTAGGAACCCAAAGGAACAATAATAATAATGATAAACTATGTAGTCGCCATACTGGTTGTGTATGAAAGAATAGATGTGAGTCTTTATATGAAAGCCATTTGTATCTTAAAGTATTGAATTTAAGGTATTGATTTCTTCATTACAGCTAAGAAATGAGTCATTCTAGTCAATGACACATGTAAGCCTGCTAATTTTCATCCTGTATGCTAAAATAAACAGTAGGAAACATTTTCAACATATGATATGTAATAATTGACTGAAAACTTCACTTGAATCGACCCTTTTAAAAACCTTCAACAGATTCGTAACGATAAACAAACGCGGCATAAAATAATAACTGAGATAAGAGTGAGTAGTTTTTCCTTAATAGTTAATGTCTACTTTAAGAGACGAAGGTTGTCGATGAATACTCAATGCACACTCATATGCCAATCCACGTATTTATCTTCCAACTCCCAATGCAATTGTTCTAAGTAGACCAGAGGAATTTTAGGAAGCCAAACCAGAACAACAATTCTAGCGTCTTAAATACGAAATATATTTCAGGATCAGAAACTTAGGGTAGTGGTCACTACTTAGCTAACTAGAGAGTGTGTATGAATGGCGGGAAGTAACATGATAGTATGTCAGAATTGTGTGGACGCTCGGCAGTGTGCTTTTAGTTTCATCAGTCGACGTAAACAGTTTAAGTCAGCACCCAGTGTTGAATGAAGAAAGCTGTAGGCTAGTAATTTCAAAGAATCATCATTTATGCTACAGTGAAGCGTAACAGCCTGAAACATTGGACTGTTGTAGTAAACTTTATGTCCATATGACCTTTTATTTCGTGGATAATCCCCATCCAGGCATTAATAAAAATAAAACACGCAGTGCAGTGAAGAGTCTCTTTTCGACGAATTCATTTTCTCAGCTGTACAACCGCAAATTTGTATGAGTTATTTTGTAAGTATGTGTACATTAAATTCATCAAACAAAAATACAATTGGTTATGGTCATTTTAACTAAACAGGTGAAAATTAGTAAGTTTTGGGTGGAGTTACGTAATACAAGAACGGTCAAGAGAATTGGGGTGTTAATTAAATTAGTGTAGTAACAAAGGTGATGAGTTGTCACAAACAGTTGTTAAAAAGGAGTGACGTAATAATATGAATAGTCTGATGATTGAGTTTTACTCAGGAACAAAATAGAGAATACGAAATTACGTTAGAGTTTATAAATGAATATATGAGGA